GGTGAGAACAGACTTACATATCCTTATTTTGACCCCTGCAAGCACTTAAATTTGTATGGGAATATGTTTTCTAAGGCAACACATAGGTATAATTCTATGAAGTGAGAGCTGGTGGGCAGGCACAGGATGGCAGATAGGAAAGGAGAGGATCTGTTTCCATATGTTACATGTGCATGTTCTTTCTCAATTCCTTTCTTTGTAAATTGGTCTCCTGCCCTTACTAAACTATTATACAGAAAGGATGATCTTAGAGACAGAATTGGTGTCAGGCACTGAAGCATCAAACCCTTTCTGCCAGCCAACCAAGCAGCCACATGACCACCATGTCTTCCCTTGAACTCATTTATCTTTTGTCACTGCTTAGAACACTCTGTCTAATTTTAGAAGGCAGTTCTGCAACCCCAGCAGTGAATAATACTTGTTCTGGCCAACAGTCCCAAAAGGCACAAGTAGGAGCACCAGAATCACAGAAACACAGAGCTGAGACAGAGCTCAAGAGGTCATGGGGTCCCTCTGATCAGACCTGTCTTTCTGGGCTGACACTCACCCAGATACAGATCCCCCATGCTGGAGTTTTACTGCTTCCACAGCAATCCATCCCACTATTATTTCCCCACCCCTACCTGATGATATTTTCCTTGAAATCAAATAATATTCCCTGATTAAAATCACGTCAATCATCTTTTACTGTCTCTGTTTCAAAGAAAGCAGTTTATCACCCTTCGTATACCTCTTCATTAGACTGAAAAATTCCAATTCTCTAACTTTCTTCATTCGTCCTCTCATTATTTCTTCTCACTTGCTCTAGATGTTCTCCAGCTGGCTTGCATCTTCTTGTGCAGCACCCTGAGTGTTCCTGCTGCTCCCCAGTACTGCTGATGAGCAGAGGGGGGCTGTGTGTCCCACCCTCTGTCCCTGCTCTGGGGCACTTCCCTTTTCACAACACCAGGCTTCTGTTGACTCATGCTCAGCTTGTGACATCCCAGATTATTTTCTGCTCTATCTGCTATTAGCAAGCTGTCCTCTGTTATGCCTTTCCACACTGAATTGTTCTTGTCTAAATGTTTTCTCTTGCATCAGTCCCTGTTTACCCTCATCTCCTCCTGGACTGTATCTCTAACTTTCAGGATCATTCTGAATTCTATGCTTGTACTCTACCATATCAACAGTGCATACAAATGATAAAGGAATGTTTCCCATTCCATCATCCAGGAAACTAATAAACATACTGGGACAAGGACAAGCTAACAGCTGAATTCTGTATCTCTTCTACTAAACAATATTAATAAATTCACGTCTAAGGAATTATTCACCAGATAAATGCAAGTGAACTTGAGCCAGAGCTGAGAAATGAGGTCCTAAGAATACAGATGGATTAGTAACACCAAGGTTTGCAGGTATTTGTCCCAGCAGGAGAGCAATAAACAAGAATGTGCAGTTAAAGCCCATTTAGAAAGAATATTGGGCAGCTACAGTAATTTTCATGCCATCAATTTTCTTTCCATCAGCCACGGCAGTTACATTCACCACAGGAAACCCACTATAATCTGTCACAATACAGGCCTTACACTTTTGGACTTAGAACATTTTGAAATACTTGTTCATAATTTTTCAAAATCTTATACTTGGATATAAATATAAAAATACATTTAATTTCCTTGGTTTCTTGTTTTAGCTCTTAGTCAGCAAGATTTTGAATAAAGTTGAATACACATGAACATTTTACTGTTAGATACTTCAATGACCAAAGGAATTGGGATCTGTAGTCTCACAGAAAATCTGGGGGCTGTTTTCATGAACTGGAATATAAAAACCATTATACCTGATTTCAGACTGAGTCCAGACAAGCACAACATCTAATACTGTGTAACAATGGATACTTTGGGAAACAGGGTAAGGAATAAATTAATAGTGGGTGCTTTTTCCTCTGGCACCCTCCCCAGATCTATCAGTGCCTTAGGTATTTTCTGAGCATTTATTTTTGCATCTGGGTCATCACATGTGCAAGCTTCTACCTGGCTAATTTCAGCCACTATAATTCCAACTACTTTCAGTATTCCTTAAACTGAAAAGACAGTATAACCCCCTGGAATCTCCCATTGCATGCAGTGCCAGGGCTCTATTGATTCTGAGCTCACAATGCCAATATGCACCCATCAGTGATTTGGCCTGAAACAGCTTTGAAGATGTGTCAGAAACTATCACATGAAAACTAGAAGGACAGAAGAAATGACTGTAAAATTAAATTATTCATTTTTCCACAGGGACATGGAAAAAAGGACAGTCTTTCAAGGATTAGGATAAATCAGCTACTACAATCAAATCTGCAAATGTTGCAAAATTGAAAGGCAATTCCAAGTCCTGCTGAAGGCATGTGAGGTCAAAATTTTAATGAAGTTCCACCAAAAATGCAAAAGCAGTAATTGCATGACTGAGCTGAAAATCTGAGAAACAAGGTCTAGAAGGAAATAACATTATTATAACAAATGTTACATTTACAATTGCTGCAACATTAGCTCAAACATTCCTAAACTGCTCGTCAAAGAAAAAGATAACACATTTTCCACATTGGGGCAGATTTTCTCGGCTCAGTTCCTGTGTGTCTAAAGATAAAAGATATGCTTGTGAAGCAGTATGTAGATACATGGAGAGCAGGGAGGGACAATGCCCCACTTCTACCTCAAGAGTCCTTTTATCTCTCATGAATTTATATGTGCTTGGTCTTTTTATTTTAACTTTACAGCCTCCACTGCACCACCACAAACATCCTGAGTGTGCAACACTTGGTTTATTTCCTTTCCTGTAATTCATACCTTTTACTCTGAAGCTTTGCACGTGCAGAATATCAGGCGTGTCAAATTGCAAGCAGTGAGACCAATCGTGTATGTGTCAGATGAAATGGAAAGAAAAGAAAATGCCATCTCATTTGAAAGTGAATTTTAGTTGCCCATTCTGTTTGCAAGCATCCCCTTCAGCGTGATTGCTCCCATGCCAGTTATCTCATCTTTCTCAGAGGAACAAAAATGTATAAATAGACTCTGACCCCTTTTATTGCAGTGTGGTAAAGAACTGGGAAAGTTAAGGAAAATAACTGTAACCTAATAAAAATTCAGAGGCACCTCAAAACATTAACGAACATTTTATTATTACAGATATGGAAAGTACAGCCCCATAACGACACATTACTTTTGGGGCTTGCAAAACGTAAAAATTACATTCTCTCAGGTAGTTTGACCATTTTTTCATATCACACCTATTGTACTTTATGCTGTTGAGAACGAATACAAACCATTCCGGTGATATTTCCTGATTAAAGTTGCTGATTAAAGGAAGATGGGAAAATACATGGATACAGAACAAAGAATCAAGAAACCTGGGCAGGGATTTTTCACTGTGCTGTTTTGTTCATGACATAACCAGAGACTTTGATTTCAGTGACTCAGTCTTCTCATCTGTAAAATAAGGATAACATCTGAATGTCTCAGTGGAATGGTGAAATTTGATTTCAGCATGTGTATAAATGACATGGAGACTGCTAAGTGGCCAGGTGTTATTACCATATATTATAAATATAAACCTAGGAAATTTGGCATTGAATGTGTAGGGGGTTTTTCCCCTCTAGCTGCCCTTTAGTTTTAAATGCTACTACTAATAATTACCATTCTATTAACACTGAGAGGAAACAACAGACAAAGGATTCTGTGCACACATATATAGCCAACATTAAAAAAAGAAACAAAGAACAGGGCAAACCTGTGGTCTGAATATTCAGAATACATAAATTAAAATGGAGCCCTACATGGAACATTTAAAAGGTTCCTTTTTCGTTCTCTTGAAATACTACCTAATCTTACTGCTACTTTTTCTGCATTCATCACAATTATGGGTTTATTTTTTGTCCCACTGACAGGCAAACTTTCTGTTCATGATAGCAAAGGGAGTTTCCTGGACAAGGCCCAAAGAGCCTGCCCTTTGGAATGGCAATGGATGCTGCTTTACCTTCACTCTTCTCAGAGTGCAAACTCAGAGGCAAAATGAGATTGTTCCCAAATTTATTGATAACCAACTAGAGTAGCATCTCTCCTTGAGAGCTCTCTAGTGGGAGGCAATTCATCATGGTTAATAACACATTAGTTTAGGTTGGAAGGGACCTTAAAGACCATTCAGTTCCAGGTTCCTCGCAGTGCTGGGATGACATTTGCAGTTGTTGTGGGGACACAAACTGTCCCTGCCATGTGGGGTATCTGGGGAGCTGTCCTGTGCCCACCCAGCCTGGAGCCGGCCGTCAGGGGACCACGATGGCTCCTGTGGGGCGGCCAATTCCATTGGTCCCTTTGGCAGAATGTTCATAGAATATTCAAAATATTCAACCCCTAAACCACTAAACCAAGGCGTATTTAAGAGGTTTCTGGATCTGGCACTGGGTGATGTGGTTTAGTGGTTGCAGTGCCAGCACCGAGTGAATGGCTGGATTTGATGATCTTGAAGGTCTCGTCCAGCCTTGACAATTCCATCAAACCACATCACTCAGCGCCAGATCCCGACATCTCTTAAACACCTCCAGGGACGGTGACTCCATCTCCTCCTGGCGCAGCCTATTCCAACACCTGACCGCCTCAACAGTGGATTTCTTTTCTCTAATCTGGATCTCTGCTGTCGCCGTTTAAGGCCGTTTCCTCTGGTCCTCTCCGTGCAGACCGGGCAGACCAGACCGGCCCCAGCTCACTGCACGCACCCGTCAGGGGTGACGAGTTCCCCGCTGAGCCGCCCGGAGCCCCCGGCTCCCTCAGCCGCTGCTCATCACACTCGGTCCCCAGTGCTTGCAGGAGGTTCCCCGGTCCTTGCAGGAGGTTCCCTGTCCCTGGCCGGACCGGCTCCAGCAGCCCCGTCCCTGTGGAAGCGCAGCCGGAGGCAGCGCCCGGCGCTCGCCGCGGCCGCCCCGGATGGACGCGGGAGCGCTCCCGGTGCCGGCGGGGCGGGAGCGGGCGGAGCCTGCGCACTGCGCCCCGCGCCCCGCGGCCCGCCCGGCACTCCCGCGGCCCGGCGCTGAAGATGGCGGAGGGCGGTGCGGCGCCCCCATCCTGCGCTTCCTCCTCCTCCTCCTCCTTGAAGGGGCTGCGGGAGCAGATGGGTGAGAGCGGGCAGGGAGGGGTAGCACGGGGGGTTTGGGGGGTCCGGCGGCCCAAGGGCGCGGCTGGCCCCGGCCGCCCCCCCCCGGCCGCCCGCTGGACGTCCGGCCCCGTCCCGGGGCGGGGAAGGGGCACCGCGAGTGGAGGCCGCCGGGGCTGCCCGGCCCCGGCCCGCTCCCGCCCGGGCCGTGCTTTCCCGCAGCTCCGGGCGGTGATTGCTGGCTCGGGACCTCCCGCAGCTCAGAGGCGGTGCGGGGAGGCTGCGTTACACGAGCCGCCCGTTTTTCACCGGTTCTCCAACTTGTCGGTGTCTGTGCTGGCTCTTGCTTTCAGAGCGTTTGCCCGCCAGCGATGTGTTCGGTCCCGAGTGCAGAAGGCAGAGACAGCCACTGGCACTGATTTCTAACCAAAGATTGAATTTCTAACCAAAGATAATTCCCAATTTTATTTTTCACTTTTTTAAAACTGTTTTTATAAGAGATCTGAAGAAGATTTGCTTTGGTTTTGTCTTTGGCTGTGCTTATGTGCCTATTTATTCTTAAGGTCCTTAATAATATACTCTGTGACGAGTATTGTGCATGCACGATATGTGTTTGCAGCAACACTTCGTGGTACATCTCCATGCAAAAGCTTTGTGGGTGAGCCATTAAAAAAGATAAACATTTACTTATCCCAGTCACCAGAAAAAAAAAAAAAAAAAAGAAAGTAAAGAGACTTGTAGTTTGATCTAAGCTAACTAACTAGGACTAGGTGCAGCAGCTACTCTTGAGAGTCTCTTGCATGGTTGTTTTCAGTGTATCTGTGTAATTACATAAAGAGGAGTGCTGGCAAAGGGTCCTGGATGCACAACTCTCATCTGGCATTCTTCTTCAGTGTGTTGGGTGTTGGAAATACTATTTAATTACTTTTTGTTTCTGTTTCAAAATTAAGACAGTTTCGTGCTCCGGAAGGATAAAGATCTGCCTAAAGATAGCACTTCTCACCTGCAAAGGCTGTGTCTGTTTGAACCTTATTCTTCCTGCTAGAACTGCTGAGTTTTATTTTGCATATGGGATGCACTTACATGGTGGCTGCTAAGTTTTTCTAAGGATGGGCACCCATATTTGCTTACAGCTGTCATGACCTAGATTTAATCCCGAAATCAGAGAGGAAATGCTCCTTGGGCCAGGCAGCTCCATCTCCCTTCAGATATGCACATGCTGTAATATGCACATCATGTTAAAAAAAAAAAACAAACCCTCCCTAGATCCTGGAAAGGCTAGACCTTGAATTTTTTTCCCTGAGGGGATAGAAGTCACTGAACCAGAATCTGAACTTCAGTGTACATAGAATGCATTTGTAGCAGTTATGTGCTCAAAGATAAACTGAGTGCTAATGTGCAGTGAATCAATGCTGTCTGTGGGCTCGCAGGCTGTTGCAGCTCTGCTCCCGACTTCTAGTCAGTAGCACTCCCTGGAGAGAGCAAATGATGTTTAGAAATCATCCTTGCAATCCAGTGGTTGACGGTGGAATTTGCAGGATAATTTGCCACAGTATTTGCTGCTCTTTGGAGAAGTTGTGAGCAGCAGCCAAGTCTGATATTGCAGCTGTTTGGGGAAGATGTAGGAAAAAAAAAAAAGACACCCAAAGGAACCTCGATGTTCAGTCCCACGCTCCCCTTCGGCGTGTTTGGGGAGCGATAGAACTTCCTGCTTGTCTGAGCTCACTTGGCTGCGTGGGGGGACTCCTCAGTTCAAAATACCTGTAACAAGAATGCTTGGACCCACTTTCTGCTCTGTGGGCAGTTGTGTACTTTGCTGTCTTAATCAGACTGGAGAACAAACATCTATGCAAAATAAATACAGTGTTGTGTGCCTTCAGCCGTTTGTCAGTGAACTTGTGTCTGGGAATCTCACGTCTAAAGACATTAAATAAAGAGAATCTTGCTGAGAAACCACCGCTCTTTCTGGCAGCCTGGCTAAGAGGTGTGTTTACCTGCTGTTTGTGTAGTCACCTTCTGTATAGCTACCTTTGTGGGTCCTTATTAAAGGCCACTTCTGGGCTCTTGTTCTTTTCACTTCTGCTCTCTGTGACCAGCCTCTTGGTACTGCTTTGCTCTGTGGGTGATTGGTGCTTTTTCATTTTTAGGCCTTGCACACGTAGAATCCCATGGTGCCACTTGTAACTAACTTCCAAGTTTGTATGTTTGGCAAGAAAAATATTCTCTTAAATTCAGTCTGGTGTTGAGGTAAGGAAAAGGTGTTTCTCCTTCTTTGAGAGAGTATCAACTGTAATTAAGATTCTGCAGGCCAACTCATGCCCACAGTGCCAGTTCTGCAGTTCCTTTGTAATAATGTTCTGCCCTGACACACTTGTCCAATCTTATTTCCTTTATGTGGATGACAAAAAAGCAGAATCTGCTACCACAACTAGAAGGCAGTTAAGGTACAACTGGAAGGCAGTTAAGGTTTCTGAACATCACTTAACATTAGAAATTAATTGTAGTTGTACACTGAACCAGCAGTGCATAGATGGCAGTTGCTTACCTCATTTTTGTTATCCATGCTTGCTGCTGTCATCCCTCAGGGATGAAGAGGAATTTTTGATCCTATTCTAGTGCCATAAGTCCTGCTGAGCTTGTTAAGATGTGAGAAGAAGGGAATAGTCGGGTATTTGTGGTTTATCCAGTAAGTGAGGTTTTCCTTGAGTAGTGTGGGTAATCAGAGGAAAAATACCTGTCATTTAAGCTGCTGTAGCCTACATTTATTGTCTTCATTTTCACTGGAATACTGAAAACTCCTGTCTTTCATAGTATGGATGGTAAAGTATGTTGAGGTTTTTTTACCAGAGCTTGGTAATCCTGTGTTGTTGCCAGGATTTCCAGTCATGTATTGAATTACTGTTGCAAAGGTTGTTCAAAACATTTAAATGCTGTTCATACCTATTTTCCTTTCCAAGATCTGCATCATCTTTTGGGAAACCTGTCTCAGGTTTGGGGGAAAAAATAAAGTGCCTTTTTCAACAAATCTAGCTGCAGGCATAAATTCCATGACCTGCAGGTCTCTGTTCAGTTGGAAGTTTTCTGATAAAACAACAGGTTCATTCCATGTAATCAGTTTTTTTTCCCCTGTGGAAGTGGCACTGTCTGGCTTTGTCCACTTTTCCAAGACCACAGTTCTTAGCAACAGCTTTACCAAGTGCACATACACAGAACTGGCATGAAAAGAAGGATGAATGGATAACTGATAGTGCTACTTCATTGCTCAGGCAAGTAGTCAGGGACATGCACAGATTTAGCTGGTCTCTAGATGACAGTTAAAAACATAAGAACACAAGTTTGTACCAACACCTATAGGAGTACTAGAGAGCTCTTGGGTACAGTCTTGGACCCACAACAGAAGATGGTCAGAGGAAGTTATTTGGGATCCAGAAGCATCTGTCAGACAATTGAGGAGTTGTCCTGTGTGTCAGAGCTGCTTGCTGGAAGATAGAAGGAATTTACTTACAAATTTGGATCCTTTAAAGTCTTTGGGATTTGCAGTGTGGGTGTCAGTAGGGTTGGACTTCAGATCTTGCCTGGGAAGCAGCAAGACAAGGAAACCATTTCTTTGCCAGGTTTCTCACAATGTGCGAGTGCTGCATGAAAAGCATCTTGAGCATTCAGTTGTTGTCCTGCTTGGTGATGTTTGAATGAGTGGCTGGTACAGGTCCCATCTGCAGAGCAAAGGCAGCCCAGCAGTGGGGCATTCAGCTGATCACTGGGGCTGGCTTCAATTTCTTGATTGGTCAAACTCCTCAGAACTTTGGAGAAAGTTCTAAGCTTCATCTTTTTTCCCTGCATGAAAGTAGTAACACTGCTTTGCAGAGTGCCAAAGCAATAAGTGCAAAGAACTGCACAGAAATTGGATTTCATGTAGATCTCAGTGGTGAGAGAACACTCCCAAATCAGGCTGAGAACTTAATGTAATTGTGATGGCTATGAGCTCTAATTTCATTTTCTTTTTGTTCAGGGAAATACAATCTTACAGGGTAGGGATAATTTCATGCTGATTCAGAAAGATGAATGCTATGTATTTAGGTGCTTAGCATTCTGAAGATTACTTCCAGTTGTAAGTGGTTTATAAAAGGTTTTATTCGAATTTAAAACTTTAAATTCTTGAGATTTCTCCAAATATATTCATCCTCCTGGGTGTAAGGAGAAAAAAGCAAACAAACAAAAAAACACCCAAACCATGTGCATATATAGCATATTTTTTTCAGTTTCTTATGTAGAGTGTTCCATTCTCTACATATTTCTTCATGTGTTGAAATTGCAAAATATAAATTTGGCTTCCGTGCTTCAATTCAGATGAAACTATTTAGCACATAATGACTTGCAAGGGTCATAACTCCAATGGTGAGAGCCCAGAGATGCTGTGGCTTACACTGTCCCTAACTGTGCATAGTCTTAAAATGTGTCTGGAATTAAGGACTGCTGCTTCTTCATATAGTTGTGTTTTTCAAAAAGAAAACAGGGGAGTACTGATATGCTGTTATTAATTTTCAATTCTTAAAGGTGATAAGAGAATAAAGAAGGGTTACTATGGGTTATTGTAAGATAAATGGAAAAAAGAATCTAGGTTAGTCATAATAATAGGGGTATCAAAAGCTGCTGGTTGTCTTTAAATTTGATTAAATAATTGGAGATGCTTGCAGACCTCTTGTGAAAGGACACCCTGACAAAATTCTGAGCATGCAATTTTAATGACTTCTGTGAATATGACTTATCGGATTACTTGTGGTACTTTAAAATCCAACTAGGACTGCAAATTTCTTGTCTGCCACAAATAAATTAGTCCCATTTAGCTTCCAATTATTCAGCTTACAATCAGGTTAATCTTAATTGATGATATGCTTTCAGTGTGTTTGCATATGCCTGTCCAGTAATCAAAACCTTTCTAGATGCTGGTGGTTTAAGTTTTTTGGAGTGTGGGGTTCATGGAAGAAAAAAAGTGTTGCTCAGAATTGTTTTTGTTTGAAAGAG